AGTATTCTTGTATATCCAGTATCCAGTAAACCCTTCCAAAGCCAAGCTCAGGACAAAGTTATGATTCAACACCAAATAGTTAAAAAGAAACAGGACTATGGGGAAACTAGATCATTGTGTTCTCAAATAATGATAATAATAATAATAATAATAATAATAATAATAATAATAATAATAATAATAATAATAGTAATAATAATATGTTGTTGTTTGTATTGTTGTAGTTGTAGTGCTAGTGGTTTATTTGTTGTTGCTGTTGTTGTTATAACTGTCATTGCTAGGGTAGAGCAAGCATTATTGTAAGCAAAGGAGAATTTGTGGTCAGTTTGGACTTCGGGAATGTAGTGGTAAACAAAGGTCAAGTCAAAGACAAAACGGAAACGGATCTTAGAAAGAAAAAGGAAGTGTCTATTAACGGTCCTTGCAACACTGATATGGCAATGACAAATGAGGAAAATTAGCGATGGGACCCAATCAGCTCAACCCCGGTCTCTCGAACCCACAATGTCACGATTACGAGTCCGGTAGTCTAACCAACCGGGAGAGGCGTATTATGTGGGGTAATTGAAAAATTATGAGATGGAAGGTGATGGGGATGTTGGCTGGCTAGAAAGACATCATCATCATCATCATCATCATCATCATCATCATCATCATCATCATCATCATCATTGTTTGGAAAGCAGAGTAGGAAGTAGAGTCTTACTTGATTTTCAGACAAAATAATATAAAAATATAAAACGTTTAAAATGTATTTTATTGGAACAGCTCCGCGTTTCGCCTCATCATCACCATCATCATCATCATTGATGTATAGTATGAGAAAGAAGAACAACAAAAAGTATATGAGAACATGGTTTATTTTTTTGAATTTAGATTATTGTATGCCTCACCAATGATCGATGTACAGTACGAGAAAAAAACCCAGCAAAAAGTATGTGGGACTTGGGTTATTTTTTAAACATTGTATCCATCATCATCATCATCATCATCATCATCATCATCATCATCATCATCATCATCATCATCATCATCATCATCATCGTCTCCAGGTCGCTAGCGAGGTTCTGAACCTGCCCCACTCCCGCATACACATCAACGAGAGCTCCACAGCCACCGTGCCAAACACGAGCCCCACAGCAGCAAGTGTGAGCACAGATCTTAACGGCATGGCCGTGCAGGTGAGTGCTGGCTGAAGGTTACACGAAACTAATCACCTTTCCTGAACGTCGTTTTTGTTACGTCATCCTTTGGTTAGGCTACAGGACTCGTAATCGTGAGATTGCGGGTTCGGGGATTCGAGCCTCAGCTCGGTCCGATGTTGTGTCCTTGGGAAAGGCACTTTACACGAATTTCCCACTTGGCTCGGTCCTTTTGGAGACGAACGTTAAACATAGTGTTGATAATAATAATAATAATAAT